CCGCTGTTGAAACTGATCAGTGGCTGATTCCAGGAAGCTGGGGGCAGAGCAATTCTGCCTCCAGCTTCCTGTAGTCAGTCCCTGGTCAGTTTCAGCAGCAGCGGCTGAATCTGGAGCCAGTTCCGACTTACATACAAATTCAACTTAAGAAGAAACCTATAGTCCCTATCTTGTACGTAAGCCGGGGACTGCCTGTACTGATCTTTGTAGGAAAAAATAAAAAAAGCCTTGAAACATTCAAAGATTTCCCAGTGACAACTACTTTTTGAGATGTCATTTTATTCTTAATCCATGTAATTTGTCTCTATCAATATTGCATAGTGCTACTTTTTTAATCAGACTGTTATGCAGTATTAAGTCAAATAAAAGTCTAAGTATATATATATATCTGCAGTTACAGTTAATCAACCAAAAATGTAACCTTATCAAATAATGATATCTTTGTCTATTCCCAAATCAGTAATCCCTTTAAACTGAACTCCTCTGAAGATTTAAATTCTTTAGGTGAGGAGTTCACAGGTGAGAAGTACTTTAGAAAAGTTAACTCCAGAGTTTCTGGTGAAAATAATATAAACATATTTGTTTTTATTATATATAAAAATACGCCTGCAATTCAACCATACCTTTATGTTGATCAGCAACTCCAAGAAATTTTTGGGTGGCATAACAACTGAAGTGTTCAGAGGAATCACATAGCACTTATCCAAGCTAAGGTCAAGGTAGGCTGTGAGTCTCTGATGAAGAAAATATATATTCTAATCAAAATCATTTAAATACATTTAGGATTAGTATACCTTTGTAAATATTGTGCTTGTTCTTCCTGTAAATTACAGTGGTGTTAATTATAAGGTGTATTCTAATTTACTGAGTTTAGGGGTGGGATACAGAGATAAAAGGCAATCCTAAATATCCAGTTGGCTAGAAGAGACTTCTGCAAGTCAATAGGTGTTACATAGTTCAAACTTTTCAGTGCATCTGAGCTGTCAGAGGTTAAGTGCAATATTTATTTAGTCTCACTGCTTGCATTTTTCTAGAGAACATGGCCTATGAAGGAAGACTGAAATAATTGGGCTTTGTTTAGTTTGGAAGGGAGAAGACCTAGAGGAATGATAGTGGTTTCCAGGTATCTAAAAGGGTTTCACAAGGAGGAGGGAGAAAAATTGTTCTCCTTAGCCTCTGAGGATAGGACAAGAAGCAATGGGCTTAAACTGCAGCAAGGGAGGTTTAGGTCAGACATTAGGAAAAACTTCCTGTCAGGATGGTTAAACACTGGAATAAGTTGCTTAAGGAGGTTGTGGAGTCTCCATCTCTGGAGAGATTTAAGAGCAGGTTAGATAGACATCTATCAGGGATGGTCTAGATGGTACTGGGTCCTGCCATGAGGGCAGGGGACTGGACTTGATGACCTCTCAAGGCCCCTTGCAGTTCTAGTGTTCTATGATTTTTAAATTTCAGAAAGAAATCTGAAAGTACAAAACTCCCTTTCAGGTCACAATGAAACATGACTGGAAGAGAACACAAAAAATATCAGATGCTATATGTAAAAATATTTTATTCCTCCAAAATACTGTGCACAATGGAAATGCTACTGTTTATTGATAGATTTGCTAGCCAATACTAGCAAATTCAAAAATACAAAATGTCAAACTTACAGAATCTACATTTTAAACCAGTAATTTATGGTTTTTGGATTATCCAAAGGGTAATATTTGCAATAGTTTAATAAACTATAACCCTAAACTGACCTTTGAACTAGACTGAAAGGTCGTGAGGCATTCATTAAATTATTTTTGCTAAGGAAGGGCAACATACTATGTTCAAGGGTTCAGTCTTGCAACAACCAACAGTTTTTGAGAGTATCATATTAAATGCAAAGAACTAAGGGTGCTAATCCTGCAAACAATATTGGGCATAATGATTACTACTATGATTAGTCAATCGGCTAAAGGAGCAAGAACTTTGCTTATAGCAAGTTTTCAGCATTGGTCCTTAAAGCATTAAGGCTTAAGAATTATAAATATGAAAGGCTCTTACGGTTACATTAAACTTTATTTTTTATTGCTATTTTTTCTTCATATGGCTTCACATTTCTTAGAGCCTGATTAAATGTTGAATGAATTCCATAGGAATCTTTCTATTGACTTCAGTGGACATTAGATTAGGCCTTAAATATATACTACAAAATATATTTACCACCTATAACATTTCTAAGGATCCTATCACCATGGTATCACATCTGCATAGGATATGCATTATGACCAAGTTATCTTTGCTGTGGAAAATAACTTTGCATTTTTTTAATGGATTTAACTATGCAACATTAATCTACAGAATTGAAATGGGCTTTGAAGGTCAGACCTCACTTTTGGTATAGGACAAAGGGTGGGCAATAAGATGGCAGTCATTTGCCTGGGTTAACCCGGCAGGCCGTCATCATGGCAATATTTACCTGTAGCTCCCATTGGCCAGGATTGGTGAGCAGCAGCTAACAGGAGATGCAAGCACCTGTACCTGCAGAGGCGCAGATAAATATAGGGGCTAAACTTAGTGAACTGGATCCAGCCTGTGAGCTGATATTTGCCCACCACTGGTATATGAGGTGCCAGCCTTTATTTCTGTCATAGCACATAGTGAAAGTTTGAAGTGTGATGGGAAAGAAGTGCTGCTGTAAATCTTAACATTTACTGAACACATTTAGAAATAAGTTTTTCAAACCACAGGATTATTTAACCAACGTTTTCCCCAAACCTGCTTATGAATGTTAGGCAAAATAAGCACTATCATCTTCATGTTTAGACACTTGAGTCCATATTGTGGAAGCAGGCTCTTTGCTGGCCAGGCCTCTCGCGCGTATTGCCATCCAAGCAAAAGGTCAACTTCCCCTTGATGAAAACCCTTACACTATGTAACTTAAAGATCAGCGACAAACAGGAACCAAAACCAGACCTGAAAAGTTCATGTAAAGTTTTTGCTGGTTGTGCTGACTGTGCCATGCCCAATAAGGCAGAAAAGGAAAAACAGGAAACCATCTCACCCCCTTACTCCTGTCACTTAACAGACAGGGTCTGCTAGCCTATCACAAAAAGTGCGCAAAAGCTTTCTCTATAAAACAGCTTCCCCTCCTGTATCAAATTGAGGAATCCCGAATAAACATTGGATGGCGGAATATGAGCCAGGTCCAAGGACTGATCACCCAAGGGCCACCTCCCGCTCACCGAACCAAATGAGTTCCTGTAGAGCGTAACGTATACCAAACATAACGAATACCAAATATGTTGTTGTTATTGTTGTAGTTTGTGTGTCTGTTAAATGTAAGTATTGTTATTTGAAATTGTTTAGAGGTATTGTTAAGTAGTAGTGTTAAGAGTTTTAGATAAATGATTAGTCTTATCAATAACACTGATGTAAATGTAACTGTTAATAATCCCTGGTCCCTTCTTAACAACTATTGAGATTTAGAGAAACCTCAAGGAAGTTTCTTTACTGTTTTGCATTTTGCTTATTGGTCATTCTAATAATTATTTGGTGCCTACGTATGTAAGAAATTGATAAAATAATAATTTATACGTAGAAGCCCTTTAATAAAAGTTTAAAAGATATTTAGTAATAGTTTGCCTGTTTCTGCGCCTCCCTGGGGCTAGCCACATTTCTGAACCTTTTACTTTAAACCACACATATAAGAGTGTGGAAATGATTTTACACAGTAGGAAAATGTTCTTTTTTCAGCCTTGCATAACACAAAAACAGCTGAATAGATTTTTCTCAAGCTTTCAGCAGCAGCAAAAGCCACATTTCAGTAAAACCAAGTATAAACTATTTAAGCAGAGTGGGATAATTTTTAGAAAACAGAGAAAGAATGTTTTTTCAATGTTAACAAAGATCACTAAGAGAATACTGTAGCATTATTACACAGACATCTTGCAAAAATGTTGTCATTAAGGACTATAACAAAGATACTTATTTATGAGAGGCTAAAAGTACCTCAGTAGTGCTCAGTCATGCCTTTAAAAAGCAGTGAGTGGTCTGTGGTGGCGGCAACGTGCTTCCTGAGAGCTCCCAAAAGCCTGGGGGTGGGGGAAGGATCTGAGTGCTACCAAGCACCATATAATGAATACAGAATACACTGCCCTCCGCAGCCTGTCAGCCATATCCTTGTCTTTTTATTGTCCCCTTGGGAATGGTTAGCTTTGTTGGAAGAATTACTGGATGATAATCTCTGAGCTCAGGTGAGTACCATGACTATGGATCTACTAACCAGCCCCTGTGCGTTGGAATAAAGGGGGAAACAAAGGCTTCTTCTACCCCACGCCCATAACAACTATTGTGGATCACAATCTGCACAATCTGCGGATATCTGCATTTGCAGAAATGGATGCGGATATCGGCAACTCATTTTGGCAGCTATGGATGCGGATACAAATTTTGTATCAAGAGCCCTACAAAGTCGCAAATATCTGCAGCTCATTTTTGTGGATATGAATGTAGATGCAAATACTTATTTTGTATCTGTGCAGGGCTCTAACAGTCTGGCTTTGTATAATTTCAGCAATAAGATTACATTTTCTTCCCTTTCTTTCATTATGACAAGGAAATGAATGGATTTGGGTTTTCTTCTCCTCTCTCTTTTTATGAGGAAAAGTACTTTATAAATGGTGGCTTTGTATACCAGATGTAAAAATTTCTTCTGGAAAAGTACTTTATAAATGGTGGCTTTACAGTCCTAGACCAGGAGAACAGCAGTTTATCAGCAGACAAGACCTCTGTATACCAGATGTAAAAATTTCTTCCAGTTTCTAAATTAGGGATGTTAAATTTCAATTAACTAATCAAGTAGTTGATGGAATTTCCATCAACTACTCGATTAGTCAACAAGGGTGCTCACTAGCCCGCTGCACCTCTCTCTTTGAAATGTACAAGAGCTGTGGGTTGCTCTTGTACATTTCAAAGAGAGAGGTACAGCAGTAGAGACACCTCTGCTTCCCCTCGGAGACTGTGTTGGGGGTAACGGGCTTTGAAGCCAGCTTTTCCTCCCCTCCCCCTACTTGCTGCCTCTCTCTGACAGGCAGCAAGTATGTAGGGGTAACAGGGGGGGTGCGACTAGTCAAGTGACTATTTGACTATCCAATAAGCTTATGCTTATCAGGTAGTCAACTACATCCCTATTCTAAATACAAAAATACGGTAGAGCTCACATTTTCACACCATTAAAAAAACTGAAATAATTAGAAACCACACAGATTAAGAGGATAAAAAAAATAAGCATTCTGAAATCGGGTTTTGTTTTTAAATGCTTTCAAGCAGTGGGGCCAACAGACTTGCTCTAGACAAGCTCCAGGGCAAGGTGTGGGAGGCATCACATGCAAGGGGCGCAGCTGGGCCTCACCCTCCCTTTTACCTCCAAACAGCCATTGGTGCAGCCTGGGGCATGCCGTGCAGGACTTTGGTGGCAATTTAAAAGGGCCCAGGGTGGCTGGCATCACTACTGACTCCCTTTTGAATCACTAGGTCCCAGGGCATTTGACCCTTTTGTCCTCTCCCACTGGTGGATCTGCTTTCAAGGATCCTCAGCAGACATTCCTTACCCGGTGGAAATCATGAACAATATCTGCTGGATCACTGTCAGCAAATTCTGGGACGGGTACACTGATGAATTCAACATCCTCTTCCTCAAGGATCTGAATGTTTTGCTCAATTGTCTGGTAGTGAGGTGCCGGAGCATCTGCATTAGGCTCAGTCAGCGTTAAATCATCCTCAATATATTTTATTCCACAGAAGTACACACCATCTTGCTAAAAATAAACAAAATAACCACAAAATAAACAACATTTCAGCAAGTTTATAAAACATTTAAAATGAGACCAACTGCTATGCAAGCTTCAAAAAAAAACCCACAACGTCACTGCACCTTAAACTCTACATCCACACTGTTTTTCCATTCTTAAACATCTCCTGAGCAGACATCGCCCTTCATTACTTACATGTTTTTCTGTCAATTTATTTAATTCATAAGCCTACAGAGGACCAATTTTAGACAGCACGGGTCTTCAACATAGCATGAATAAGAGATAAAGGGCCTGAGTGAAATCCTGGCCTCGCTGAAATCAATTGGAGTTTTGCCATTGGCTTCCAGGGAACCAGGATTTCATACTTGGTCTTCCATTTGCAACAACAAATTCCTGCAGGTGCAAATAAGGTAAGCATACCTTTGATTACATAATTTTGTGACCAGAATAAGGTACTTAACAGTTTTCATGCCTAAACTTGTGCTTACTAATGGCAGTATTCAATAACCAGGTCCTCAAATATATTTGATTACGTTCTAACCTAAATCCTGTTTAATTAATTTATTCTGACCACCTAAAACATGTTCAGGAAGTTCTTTATAATCCTGAAGTTTTCCTACATTTAAGACTTGAAATTTATTCATAAAGTGAATGCATTTCTGATATATTAAACTACAGCTCTCTTCACTTTCAAACAGTAGCCTGTCAATTATACATGTTAATTTGCAATGTGATCACTCTCACCTGAACTACACTAACTCCAGCAGAGTTAGCTTGAGTTATCTACAGCCAAGTTAACACTATAGTGCAGACAAGCTCTTAAACTTGCTCCTGAATTTCATCCATGGAGTCTGATGGAGTCTAAGTTGGTTCAATTCATATAGAAAGACAGGATACAGAACATCAAGTACAATCAGAAAGGTGTAACAAGATGCAAGTTAAATAAGACCCCTCCAGCTCCTCCGTGCTGTCTGACCAGTTTGCTAATGTCTAAAGGAATCCAAATGGATGTAAATAGACCCAAAGGACCAAGTGTCTAGAAATTAGGCTCTCAGGAAATGGGATTTTCCATGAGAACCATCCACATATAGGTCTTGTCCCTCCCACAAATAAGAGAGAGGAGTGCCAACTGCTGCCATTGCACTGTTTCCCACTGTTGACCCAACACAGAGTGGTCCACATGGCCCCATAAAATTCAGGGTCTGCATTATCATCATTCCCACAGAACCCCCACGAAGTCACAGGGGAGTCCCTTGCAGCAAAGCTCCCATGAACCTGTACTGCCAGGGAGTTAGCCAATGCAGAGTACAGGGCCTCTGTACAGATAGCTCTGGCCTCCTGCAGATCCCAGGTTTAGGGCTTGCTCAGTGTCCTACTTCACAGGGGGTAGGAGCAAACCCCTCTCCCCAACTGAACAACAGGGAGATTTCTGTGGAAGTCTTGGCCTGAGTTTTTCCTGTGGCTGGAACAATGTGGCTCAGGGAATCTTGCACCACTTTACACATTCCCTCAGAATCTGGTATATGTGGGGGAAGAATAATTTTTCCTAGGGTGCAACCGCCAAAACCACCACTCTTCATGAATTCCCAATTGACCTATTAAAGAGGAAGGACTGAATACAACTTCTGAAAGGGCTACACATTCAACCCTTAAGACCTATAGAAGAAAAAATGTGAATACAGAGAACCAGTAGCACTCTGTCACTCTCACTCTGCTAAACACAGGGGCTATGTCTACACTTGCGGCTTCCTGTGCCAGAAAAATGCAAATGAGGCTAAGCGTGGAATATCGCTGAGCCTCATTTGCATACCTAATGAGTCTCCATTTTTGCAGAAGAGGCTCTTGCGCCAGAAGGAGCGGTCTACACTGCCCCTTCTTGCGCAACAAAAGAGACTCTTGCGCCAGAAGAAGCTGTCTACACTGCCCCTTCTTGCGCAACAAAAACCCTCTTGTGCAATGCCGTTCTTCCTGAAAAGTAATCGGCATAACGGCATTGCGCAAGAGGGTTTTTGTTGCGCAAGAAGGGGCAGTATAGACAGCTTCTTCTGGCGCAAGAGTCTCTTCTGCAAAAATGGAGGCTCAATGGGTATGCAAATGAGGCTCGGCGATATTCCCCACTTAGGCTCATTTGCATATTTCTGGAACAAGAAGCCGCAAGTGTAGGCATAGCCAGGGTGTACAGGGAGAAAAATGAAAGTCCTTTATTACATAAATTGTATTTGGCTTACCTGGAATGCAAAATATTTGTACAGATAGGCACCCCCAAGTATCACACCTGCAAGCATAAAAGCCACTCCAAAGCACATACACCAACACCAAGCTCTCCTCTGTCCAACGGGCACCGCGGCTTCAGGATCCTAGAAACATATCAAAGGAAAATTGTCAACATAACATTACACAGACATTTATAATTGCACTAAATACATCCACAAACATGTCAAGCTCCACTAAAATATTCGGTCATTTTATTCTGTACTTGGAAAAAAAATACTTTAAATTTATTCCATGTTAAAGTTCACAGCAGCACCAACTATGATGGAGATTATGAGGAGATTAAAACAGCTATAAATATTGCAATTTTTTATTGTCATTTTTTGGGCTGATTCATCAACTGGTTACGAACAACAAAGATATCCTCTGAGAAGTGATGGGCTTGTGAAGTCATCTGAAGCATCATTCTTCTCACAATTCAGCTTCTCTCAGGTTGTGTGCAGAAAAGAATCCATTTTTAGGCTAATTTTTGTGAAATAACAGCATGTAAGGGACCTCAATAGCATGGATTAAGGAGGAGGATTAGGACACACTTCAATTTGGTACAATTTCAGAAATTTGAGGAATAAGCAGCTAAGGACAATATCTGGCCCCATGATAGATGATGATCTACATGGCTATTTGCAGTCATCTGAAGAAGTGGGCTGTGCCCACGAAAGCTCATGATACCATCTACATGTTTTGTTAGTCTATAAAATGTTACCAGACCATTTGTTGTTTTTTTCTGTAATAGACTAACTTGGCTAACCCCTGAAGCTGCATGCCATAGTTGAGTGTTTCTCAACCAGTGGTACGAGTACCCTTAGGGGTACTTGAGAGAAGTCTGGGGGGATATGTCGACACAACTGAAATTTGGAGAAACCTGAATTTTTGTTTTAAGTTTTACAGCGCTTTATTATTTTTGTACTTTTTACATCCAAAAATTTAATCACCCATCTGGCTACAATTAAGTTGTTTGAACAAAAATGTGTTGCAATGGTAGAAAAAAAAGTGTCAGAAAACTGTTAGTACTGGGGGTACTTTTTTTTTTTTTAAAGGGGTACTTTATAAAAAAAAAGGGTGAGAAACATTGCCATAGTTGACCTGAGACTCTCTGTTGCAGGTTGGGGGGGGAGGGGAGGAAGAGGGAGGGAAGGTTTGCAGTGTTTCAATCCATGACACTGACAGATAAATGTCAGAGTTTGAATTAGCGGAAACTAATTCATTGCACCGTGTCTATGGGAGACAACAAGAAATCATTACAATCAGGAAGAGAGAAAATTGTGGCGAAAAACGTAAGTGGAAAAAACTTGGCCACCTATTGCTAAGAAGAAACAAGTTTTGCTTTAGCATGATTGATATGCAGGAGACCCTCACAATTTGTGGAATTGCTATTTGTGGTTCGTATATTCGCCCCACCTAGGGGCGGGGCGGTGGGGGCCAGAAGCTGCAGGGAACTCCCAACAGCCCCTGGCCTCCCGGTGAGTTTGGGAGCCACAGGGAGCTCACTGTCAGGGCTGGGAGTTGTGGCTCCCAGTATTCCCGAATTTCATTATTACTAGGGTTTCCTGTACTCTTGTCTTTTAACAGATGCTTTTTATGGCTTTTGGGTTTGTTCTGGAATGATCCTCTGTAAGTTTTGCAACAAGCTGCTACAGCATTTAATAACTAAATAAAACACATTTTTTAAAACAAAGTTCTAATGGTAACTTATTCTCTATGTCTCTTAACATGGTTTACAGATCAGTCACTTATGATAAACAGCTAGCTTTCATATCCACTTTTCTGTATGGTGACAGTTAAATAGCAGTTTAGAAACATTAACAGGATAAAAATGTTAAAAAATAACTTACAGATTATGCTTCATAAAGAAAGTGTTTTATATTAGCTTGCAGAGTGTTGCAAGAAGCAAAATAAGTGCAGCTTTCTTTTGGAAGTTTTTCTATTCATTACAACTAGATGCATTGCATTTTCCCCCCCAAATATAGAACAGTATGAGCTCCTCAAAGATGCAGTCACTTGATCTGAAAAATAGGTGTTACAAATATAAGCTTTTAGCAAACCTTCTAGACCAATAGAAGTGTTTCTATGGAAAGCATAAATAAATTCTAACTGAAGCACAGTTTTTAATTGATAAAAATTCCCCTGCAGCATTTGCAATGTGAGCACTAAAAATCGCTGTACCTAATGCATTAGCACCCTCAAAGTGAAACTAGCTAAAAAGCTATATTAAAGATTAAACTGATTCGTCACAGCATAAACAGGGAAATGCAGAGAGCAATTTTTAAAATCCTTTCAGTTTTAATTGTTAATTATCTAAAGATTTTTAACTAGCTACGTGATTTTTTACACTGACCTTGTTCGTTCAAGTGAAAGGCTGAGGATGAAGTTTAATACAATACCCAGGGCAATTTAATTAAGTTTCAGGTCAGTTTCTTATTCATCATGAACATATAAGTCAAATGTGTTCAATTAGAACTCTAGGTCAAGTAAAGCAAGGATTTTTAATATTTACATTGTCCCTGTACTACCAGGTAATTTCATATTCCAAAACTTTTCAAACTATGAAGAACATCTACATAAAACTTTTTTAAAAAAATGCTGCCATGGAAATTGCTGTACATTAATGACGAAACAAGCTAAAAAATGTGCTGCCATGGAAATTGCTGTACATTAATGGCGAAACAAGCTAAAAAATGAGGATTTAACACTCAGGACAGAAATATTACATAAAAAGTTTAGGATATACTTATTTTTAAATTATCTTCACAAACTGACAGTTTAAATTTGTTTTAAAGAGACTAGGGGGAAAATCCCAACAGCACTGACAATACTGTCGTGTGTCTATAGCAAAAAGAATATTCCAAAACAGATATTCAATTCAAATGAAAAAACTGTGAAGGAAAAGTTTACATGATGCACATCTATCCTCTAGGAACAGGATTTAGATCACAAACTCATACACCAAAAGAACCTCCTAACTGCTTCCAAGATGGTATGAAGTTGAAACAGGTGGCTATTAATATTCCTAACCTAAATATTTTTGCTGTGATATGTGAATGATAGATGTAAACTGAACATTCAGTACATTCCCACAATAATACTTAGCTGTAACATTGAAGGATTGAGTACATTCCCAGCAAGCTGTACTAAGATATTTCACATGAATGAATTGACTTGTAGCACTGATTTACTCACAATCTGTTGCCAATTTTAGATCAGAGTTTCAAGCAGTTTGCTTATTCTTTATCATATCTCAGTAGAGCTAACCCAAAAGTATCAAGCAACATTCTCTGTTAACTTAATAATGCACATCTAATTTTCCTTTCTGAAGTAGATAATTAAGTACATCTATTAGGACTTAAATGGAAGCACTTAATGTTTATAGTTTTGATTATGCAGAATTTCATTAATCCCACAATGCTAAATTATACTAGTATTGATTGCTGCCCTGTGACCAAGCTTCTGGAACACCACATTGTTTCTGATGAGCTAGAATGAGCCCAGAGAAAATTGCACTTCCCTTTTCCAGAATAACCCCCTGCAGCCCAGGATCAATACCCCTTAAATTAAAACTGGTGTTGCTGATGCTTACCCTCCATTAGGGTGCTTTGGAAGGGTAGTGGTAACTTACAGGGGAGTTCCACTAACGAAGACTGTGCTGACTATATGTCGTTCCAAGTCAGTGCCACTCATTTTGGGGACAGTAGCTGCCCTGCACAAGGGTCCTGGAGAGGCAGAGGTTCCAAGCCGGAAAAAAGCGGCAGCCATGTAAATGCAAATGCCGCAGGGGATATTTAAATCCCCCGCGGATTTGCAATTGCGATGAGTCTCATTAGCATCCCTTTTCTGGAAAGGGATGCCAATGTAGACACAGCCCTGGAGTTATAAAATACACCCTAGAGTTGTTCAATTGATGCCACTGAGGCTAGCTATTTCTACACTACGGGGTTTCTCCTCTGGATCCAAGGAATGCGTCTGCTCCTCCTTTTTTTTTTTTTTTTTTTTTTGGGGGAAGAGCAGACACTCTCTTTCGGAAGCTCTGTCTTCCTCCTCCCATGAGGAATAAGCCTCTTCCGAAAGAAGAGGCTTTTCCAAAATTTGGCCCAGTGCAGACAGGCCAAATTTCAGAAAAGCCTCTTCCGAAAAAACTTTCGGAAAAAGGTACTCAAATTGCGGAGTGCAATTTGAGTACCTTTTCCGATAGATCATTATAGTGTAGACATAGACTCAGCCATAACACTTTGCAGAAAAAGGCAGAGAAGCTCTTAAAACATATTTAGTCGTGATAATAGATAGACGTAATTTGTAAGTAATTATTTTGGGGAACAAGAAAAACAACAACTTGTAGCCTCATAAGCCTCTATAATTACTCCTTTCATGAAGTGTTCCATTCTCTTGCTCTTTTCAGTTCATTTTCTAGTGCTTCTGCATTTTGTTCCAATCTAAGTATGAAGATTCAGCAGCACCAAGCTAACGTCTAGGGTAAAACTTTCAGAATTCTAAGGAAAACTCTTAGGAGGGGCACGGAGACAAAAAAGATAATCTCATGGGGATTTGCAGGTAATCATCCCCTTTTGTAGATTTTTGTACAAGAATAGAATATTCTGGTTTAAGAAAGTAATAATTGCAAGTTATTTTACACACCCAGCCAGCTCACATTCTAAAAATTATGACAATTAGGGATGCATCACAGAAAAATACTTGCATCCATTTGTGCAGAAATACTCAACTGAATATTAGTCTGTCTATAGCAAACATAATGTGCTGTGAAGAATTCATGAAGTGTTGTGATCAGCAAGCAGCTACCCAAAAAATACTAATCCATCTTTAAAAGTAGATACAATGGAAACAAAAATAAGATTGAAATATATTTTATAAGTGTTTCTACTTAAAAAATGATACATATTGCATTTGATCTGCACATAAATGAGATGCAGTATATGATCCAAAGTTTCCTAAATGGATGTTTACTTCATAACACACAAATGGGCCATGATTATCTATCTGAAAATTGAACCTACTTAAAAGGCCTAACATTTATATAAGCAGAATGATACATGCTGCTTAAAACCTGTTCAAAGTGGTTTTCTTGTGAAGATCACTG